TGATTTACTTTGGTTCACATAATACTGCTGGTTAATAACTGTTAATAATAATAACTGCTGGTTTTCTCCAGCAGTTGAAACTAGGCGGGATGGGGAAACGGCTCATTTTGCCTTCAGCTTACCTTGAAACTAACAACTGTAACATGACCAACTGCTAGTTTAAAGTATGACATTAGAAGTCAAACAAAATTGCCTGCAAGTAAAAGCTTGCTTCACCAGCATGCTGACCCGAATGTGATAAAAGAATGGTGCATTTGCATTGTATTTGCATGCCAAGAGGCAGGCCTGAAGGATTGGGTCTTGTAATGTTTATACTCATTAAGGTATTTAAATAACACACTTGTCAAAAAACACATATTACCAAGAAAGATGGAAAAAGACTACAATATAGATTTCCCTTATCAAAAAAAATTACAAAGAGAGACAACTAAGATTCTTTATGTTATGTAGACAGATAAATACATTTCTTTTACTGACCAGAGAAACAAAACACCAATGGAGTAAAGCACCATGTGCAAGAATATGCCTAAGGAAATGCAAGGGATTGAATAGACTTCCTAGTCTCTCTAGACTCCTACCTCCATTCCTTTAATCTCAGGAATTTCATATTCCTCCATATGTAACCATCAATTTGTTTAATTTGTTCCATTTGCAGATTTACTACAACCCTGAAATTAAGAGCACTGCAGAGGCAAGAGTCTTTCTTCACTTACCACTGAAAAAGCTCCGAGAAGGCGGTTGTTTCCACAGGACTTGGGCTCTGACACACAGGTTTTCAGGTAGGATGAAGTTACAGCTAGTCAGCAAACTGCAAATTTAACACATAAGAAACAGCTGCTTAAGTACCAACATTTATAATGCAAATCTAAACAGTTCAACAGAGTAAGATAATCTTATATGCAGAAGCCAATTAACATAGAGGGAAAAGTCTCCTTAAAGTCATAGAATTTTTGAAGAATCTCACATCTAGACTATTCCAAAATCTATCAATTCAATTATTCCTGCAAATCCTGGATTTGTTTAATGTTGCATCCATTTTATCTTTTCATTTTCTCATGAAAACATTGACACATGTTCCTCGAAGTTAATTCTATCAACATCCCTTTTGGTACCGTACATTGATGACATTATGTACCATATCTTGGGCTGTTATAAATTCCAATACAGTTATGATTGTGAATCCTGAATCCCATGTCTTACAAAAAGAATTAAAAGGGGAGGATGAAAGCCAATATCTTCTATTTCATAGATTGGCCTACATGTTTGATAATCTGTTACTGGAGGATTATTTCCTCCCACCAGGCTGAAACACAAATATCATTCAGGAAATTCCTTCAATAGCTCCCATTTTAAGAGACACTCATGAATTGCATTCAGACATATCTTTCCTTCCCAGCCCAGTGAGGAGATGGGTACATAGAAAAGTTACAGGTTGTATGAAGAAGCATCAGAATTTATTAGATAAACTGGTATAGCTGGAAAACTAGAAAAACTGCCAGGCACAGGAGCTCTTCCTTGGAGCTCTGAGACTTGTCTTGCCACTTCCTTACACTGATAAACTGTAATGTCAGTAGTTCTGCCACTCCGAAAACACTCTGAAAAAGTTATTTCATGTTTCTAATAAATGTGAAAAGGATTCATCTGATCTGATCACGCATTCATTGGGCATGTGTAGTGTCTGACAGCCTGACTTGGCACTCAGGCCTCGTGTGTGCTCCTGATCAGGCACACGCTGAGCAGAGAAACAGTGAATTCCCCTTCAGGCTATTTCATCATTTAGGCTGCTGCAATTTACAGGAGATGTTTATAATTCGCTCAGATTTTTAAGAATGAATTTCAGATATCTATTGAGGTACATAAAGACTTGGTTAATAATGGAAAGAATGTCTATAAATAACAAATTCCTTGTCCAGAAGTTACATAAAAATAGTACACACTTGCTAATATTGATTTAATATGATAGTCAAGAACGAGCAAGTCTAGTTTTCACTTGTCCCCACGACACCATTTCCATGGTATTTCACTCTATCCTTCAGCTTCATGATCACTATTAAAACTACCACATTAAACACAATTATGACAAGCCAGTTCTGTATGAACCCAAACATGACAAGGCAGCTCCTCCTCTGAACACAGGCTCCCCACACCAGGTGCCGAACGTGCCACGCTTCTGCATCACCTCCCAGGATATTATTTCCTTAACGTGGCAGAAAAGGCCTCCCTGCATTGCTGCAGAACCTGTATGCTTCACATAGCAACATGATGCAACTTTATAATGAACCGGGAGCTGAACTCATCCTCTTGGGTCATACACTGTACTCACCTGCTGTATTGCAAGACCTGCTTTAAAACATATTGAAACACCTGGAATAAAAGGAGCACTTGCCTATCCACAGACAAGAGCCTCTTGTATGGGGTTCAAGAATAGCTATGAGAAATCTAATCTCAACCAGATTAGGTTAATCTGACCATACACTGGGATAGTTTTAGCTCCCAATAAAAAGAGGAAAAATCCCTGCTTTGCTATAGCCTAAAATGTCCCTCCTCCGAAACTTGCTCTGTGCTGCACCACTTCACGTGGGTATATAAACAGAGCTTGTATACAGAGATGTACACAGCATAAATGTAGAATATGCACGTATGTATGTGTGTGCATATATAGACATGCATGGCATAGATATGGAATATAGGCGCATATATGTGTGTGCACGTATGTAGATACACACGGCATAAATATATGAATATACTGTATATGTGTGTGTGCATATGTATATATACACACACAAAGCATACATGAGGAACATACGTGTGTATATATACACAGAGTGTAAGTGGAACATATGGGTGTGTGTATATGTATATCAATACACACAGCACATATAAGTGGAATATACATATGTGTGTGTATATATACGTACATATACACGTATATATACATATATATACACGTATATATGCATACATATGCAGTATATATACGCACACAGCATATAATACGGAATGTGTGTATGTATGTATTCCATGGCTCTGATGCACATGGGCTGGCGGGGAAAACGCTGTCCCCAAAGCGCCGCTCACGTCCCGCGGTGGCGGCCGCCGCTCCGGGGGCTGCCCGGGTGACACGCGGCTGGAGCCGCCGCAAACCGGCGCCCGGGCGCAGCCGGCGGAGCCGGGGCTGCCCCAGGCCCCGCGCCGCGTCCCAGCGGGCGCGCAAGGCTCG